AAATATATGCAACACTTAGAGAATGCCGAGAACAGGTAGGGATCAAAAAAGTAAAAGGAATAAAAATGCAAGGATATATGTTTAAAAAAAGCGACAAGAGTAAGAAATGGAAATCATTATACTTTGTCTTATTAATTGATGGAGTTGATACTCATTTGTGTTTTTATGATAATCCTAAAAGAACTAAACCTAAAGGTTTGATAGAATTGAGTTGTGCTTACTTATATCCAGTACATGAAAGTGTGTTTGATAGACCTAATTGTTTCCAATTAGTTGAAAGGGCTCTACCATGTTTGGCTACTATAACTTATTTATCTGTATCAACACAAGATTTATTTCAAGAATGGCTTTCCTCTTTAAAAATGTACTGTGTTACTCAATTGTCAAGAGTTCCTAAAGCACAAAAATTACGGGAATTACGTTGCTTACAACTACACATTATCGATGCCCATCGTTTACCATGCAAACTTATACCCAATCCGTTTTGTATAATATCTCTGAATCAAGTTAAAGTAGCAAGAACTCGAGTTAAGAGTGGAACTGATCCTGTGTTTGATGAAGAGTTTACTTTGGATGATGTACCTCCTGACGTATTGACATTCACTGTAAGTATTTACAACAAAGGAAAACGATCTAAGGATACTGAGTTAGCTGATTTCACTGTAGACTTGAGTACATTGAACAATGGAGCTGAAGTTGAAGAATGGTACACTTTTAATGGTATAACACCTATTGGGGAATGGGGTAATCTACGGTTGCGTACTAGATACTTACATGATCTCATCATGCCAACTGAAGAATATTCACCAATGCAGCAGCTAATTCTTGATCCAGATTTAGAATCTGTACGAGCATTAGCAGATTTATGCCACCAAGATCGCATGCCTTTGGCTACATCTTTAATGGGAATTTTCCGACACGAAAAAAAAGAAGCTGATCTGTTAAGAAGTTTAAATGATGTAGAGATAATGAAAGAAGATGAGACTACTACATTATTTAGGGCTGCATCATTAACTACAACTTTAATGGACCTTTACATGAAATCTGTTTGTTCAGATTTCTTAAAATCCGCAATTCAACAAACTGTGTTTAAATTATTGGAAAGTAAACAATCATGTGAACTTAATCCATGTAAAATGGAATCCCCAGATGATGCTTGTGACAATGCTGAGTTTCTTTTGTTAGTATTAGATGAGATCACTCAATCCATATTTATGTCGGCTGACGCTTGTCCTCGTACTTTACGATATATTTGTGGATGTCTACAGAGGATGGTAATGAATAAGTGGCCGTATGAAAGATTAGTTAGAACCAGGGTAGTTTCTGGTTTCATATTTTTACGACTTCTATGCCCTGCAATCTTAAACCCTAGACAGTTCAATCTAATTCCAGAACCACCACCACCCATGGCAGCTAGATCTCTAATTATGGTAGCAAAATGCTTGCAAAACTTAGCCAACTTGGTAGAGTTTGGAGGTAAAGAGACTTATATGGAAGTTGTAAATCCATTTATACTGAAGAACAAAGAAAGGATGATTGTCTTTTTAGACCAGTTATCCAATGTAATTGAGAAACCAGAATCAGAAGGAGAGAAAATCAAGGGTGATCCTGCCCGTAATTTAGGCACTTTACATCACATTTGTAAGACACATTTAATCGAACTTCAAAATCTTAGTAAAAGTCAACCATCATTGAAAAAGCTGGTTACAGTCACAGAGATGTTAAACAAACATAAACAAAAATATTTGGAAATGATTACTTAAATAATTGTGTATTTATAATAATACAATTAAATGAAATGTCCAATTTCTAATTGCAAATTCATCCATGACTTACAAAGTTAATTTGCTGAGGCATTTCTCTAAGTTTTAGTTAAGTTATTATTATTAATACTTAATAGTTTTTCAAAATTATTTATCCACAAAACTTGTGTTCCAAAGGTATATGATGAGAGATAATGTTATTAATAACAAGATAACTTATCACCTCATAAAAACAATTAATTATATATAAATTTATATTTATTTTGGTTGTTTTATGTTAATTATAATGTTATATTACTGCTTAATGCTTTTCTCAATGTATCAATGACGGTATACACCAAAATCGACTGGTAAACTTTGACTGAGTTTATAATTTTATTATTAAAATTAATTATTTTCTTCTTTAAATTCTGTCGATTTCAACGTAGAGTTTCATAGACGTGCCAAAACTTTTTACATAATTTATAGTGACATAAAAACATATATTATATGTTAGATAGAATAATTTTTATTTGATCCATATTAACTTTCAAATATTTTTCTACATTTTGTATTCATACCTTAAAATATCATTAAATATTAAATGTATTTATAATAAAATATTTCCAATGTATACACTAACATTTTTTTTTTTTATCACGGTTTTGTTAGATTATTGTATGTATTGTGATACACTACTAGTATCAAAATACATAAATTAATATTATATTGTTAAAACATTGCAACTACTTTTTAGTTTTTTAAAATCTTAGCAATTATAACATACCTAATAATGTGAAAAGAATTATTTTTCAAATATAACAAAATTTGATTTTATGTTTGCTTTATTATGAAAATAAATATAAAAAGAAAAAATTGCACTTATAGTAGTTCATATTGAAGTAAATTAACTTAAATGTGTTTAATAAATGTATATTTAATACTACTTTATACTCTAGTATTCAGTTTTCCTTGTTGTCCTTGGCCAGAATTATATTCTTTTAAAATAACCAAAATAAGATGTTAATATTCTCTTAAAAAGTTGAAAATATTTTTCCAATATTCTTTAAAAATCATAGCAAAATATGATTTTTTATTAAATTTTCTCTTGAACTTAAAATATGCATTTATATGCAAAATAATAAATAGATATAATTAGGTAAATAATAATAAATACTTCATGTTAAAAAAAGTTGATTAAATTATTAATAATAATATTTAATATTTAATTATTTTATATTTTTTAACTTAGAAAATTTTTGTTAACAGTTGACAACTATATTTTGTTATATCACTATTCAGTCATATAACTTATATTATTAATGCCACTGCGACAAAAAAAAAAAATATCGAAAATCTATACTAAATGTGTAAGTTTTAATGTAAAATTAAAAAAGCAAAAAAAAAAAAAAATGAAAAATGAACACCTATAAAAATTAATTGATTTATTCTCTAATATTCTTTATTATACGAAATATTTTCAAATATGCAAAAAAAAACTTTTACCAATAACTCGCCTGTTTCATGATTTGTAAAAATTTCAAACTTTCGTCTGACTGCATATACTTAAAAAAAATGTACAAAAGAATATAATTCCTAAGAGAAACATATAAACATAATTTAAAAAAATTAATTGGTTTGGAATTTTTATTTGAAATTCCAATGATAACAATGTTTATGGTTATTTATTTATATTATTATCTATGTACTTTTTATGTTCATCTTCAGCATTAGTATACAGTACTACGCATGACATAATATCTGTCCCAACATTTTTGACATTCATGATTGATATCTATTATGTTGACTCCAGTCTCATTACTATTTTTTATTTAGTTTTTGTTAATAGATTTAAATTAATATTTTAGTAACTTTTGCTAATTGAAAATACAAATAATATAAATATTACATCTAAAATGTGTTTATAGTATAACTTGCAAATTAAACAAATTCAACTATGAAAAATATGTTTGTTATTAATTAATGGCATTTTATGTTATTATTACTCATTAATCAAAAAATGATTTGAGTATTTTTTTTAAACTATTGTTACCAGTAATACTAACACTTTTCATGATTTTAAATTACAACTATTGATAACTGAAAACATATAATAAATCTAATTATATAATTTGTATGCAACTTCATTAACTTATATTTTATACTTAATAATAAATAATTATTTACCTACCAATTCAAAGTTTAAAGTATCTACAGACTATAAAATTTCCATAAACGTAGAAAAAATATAAATTTATAAAATTATTTTAATAATTTCGAATTAGAAAAAAAGCTAAGTTGCTAACAATTTTGGTGTAAAAGTATTTATATAGTATATAAATTAGATTTTATCTGTAACATGGTAAAACAAAAAAAGAAATTTCTCAACATTTTAAAACAATGAGTCAATGAGAGAAAAAAATATGAACAATTGGTTATAAGTTATAACTTATAATTTTGTTATATTTTTAAAATATTTGTTTGATAAACATGGTTGACCAAATTACAAGGTATATTCAATTTGTATTATTCTACAGTGCAGTTATCTAATAGCTCACTAACCGTTTTGTTTAATTTTTCTTGATTTTGTAAGTTAAAAATGTTAAAAAAATATTTTTAAAATTACTGAGAAATTTCTACTTTTGATCATAGAACAAACTAGATCAAATTTATTATCAGAAACTGTCATCGAATTTGATAATTAGAATAGTTTTTCTCCTATAAAATAACAGATGAAAATAAAAATAAAAATTCATTATAAAATCAACACATTCATTGTCACTCTTAATATTAATCAGTTTTAGCATTTCTATAATAAAAAATAAGTTAAATACTACTTATAATTGAATTTTTAACATATTAATTCAAAGTATGAAAAAGTGAACAAATATTTAAATAAATAACAAAGAAATTCTATATCAAAATATTATTTTTAATTGTATTGGAATGCAATTCAGTATTAACAATAATGTATATTGAAAAAAAAAAAAAAAAAAACGATGATTAATAAAATGGAAAATGTAAGAATTATAAATTATTTTTAAATGTAAGATCATAATAATAAAAAACACTGAAAAACTTAAATCTAGTAAAACCTAATATAATAAATTAAAATCCACGAAAAAAATTATATTTATATATTCGATGATGGAAGGATCATAAAAGTTGAATTACAAAAATCAATAAAAAAAATCAATAATCATACGCAATAATTTGAATAAAATAAATAAATTAAAACTAATATTAAAATTTCTGTATAAAACATTACTAAAATTAAATTTCATATCAAATGATAATATATCTTAATATCTTGTACGCCTTTTAAATAAACACTTAGAAATCGAAACAACGGCAGAGTTACAACTTTTATTAGAACAGGTGTGTTCTAAAAAGACTGTTAAAAGTAGCTCATAAAAACGGACTGCAAATATATCTAGGTTTTTTGTCGATGGCTTTAATTATTTCATGACCTATGGCTGTACCCATGGGTGGAGGAACTGCATTACCGATCTGTCTGTGTTTGTTGATGATTGGTCCATGAAATATGAAAGAATCTTTAAAACCTTGAGAACGAGCACACTCTCTAACACTGACCACACGGTGTTGCTCAGGATGAAGTACTCTGCCTTGTTTTCCCATTGGTTCAGGATTTGTAATAGTGGTTGAACAAAAACCTGACCATGCTAAACGACCATATAAACCAGCCCAGTTATTATGTCTATTACCGGTATGTGGTAAACACCAAGGGATAATTGTATTGTTTTGACGATCTTGTGGATCACATTTTTCACCACTTGCGCATTGACAAACACCGCGTAATTCACCATTTGGACCATAACCATTTTTGATATCATGATGAGTATATAAAAGTTTATTGGTATAACTTCCATCAGGTAATTTTACTTTGGTATTGGGCAGATCTCTCCAGTCACTTCCTTCACCTACTGGTATCAATTCCATTCTAGCTTGAACCAAAGGTGACATGTCTTTGCATATGTGATCACTCAATATAGATTCTGCATATCGGTTATCTGGATATCTAAATAATTTTTGTAAATGAGTAATAGGTTTCGATTTATAAATGATATCTTCCTCATTTGCTCCGTTTGGTATTTCGGGTAAATCAGACCAAGCATCATATACAGTGACGGTTCTCATGGGAGCTGACTCTTCATATTTGCAATTAGTTTTGAATTTTTTATCGCCAACTTGAATGGTTAAACTTGAACTTCTTCTGTTAAAAACATGTATAGGCTCAGGATAGAGAGGCAATATTTCACCAGGAGCTGCTGCCATAATGATTAACCTTCTTCTAGTTTGAGGTACACCAAAGTTACCAGCTTGTAGAATACCAAATGTACATTGATAGCCCATACGTGTAATACATCTTAGTGTCAATTTAAGAACCATACTTCTTTTAAATGATGCAAAATTTCGAACATTTTCCATGACAAAATATTTTGGACGATAGAAATCAATATATGATAAAAATGAAACAATCAGAGAGTTCTTGAACAATGAATATTGACCAGAATTGAATCTATTCATTCCACTAAACCCTTGACAAGGGGGACCTCCACAAATAAAATCAACTTCACCTTTTTGTGGTATGTTTTGATTTTTACTATTTGTTTTTTCCCCAGACATTGCTAATTTCAATAAATGATTACAATCTTCAACAAACACAGTTGACTCTGGGTTGTTTAATTTAAATGCTCCTGCAGCTAAATCATCACATTCAATGGCCCAATTACTTATAACAAGACCACTATCTTCTAAGCCTCTAGACAAACCGCCACAGCCAGCAAATATATCAAGTCCTCTGAGGGGTTTGATTTTTTTATATGATGGTATATACTGTAATTTATCTTCATCCACATATTGATATTTATAATTGACATAAACCTCTTTTCCTGTTAGTTTAGCTTCACTTGGAAGTTCATATTCCGAAATAATAGAACCAAACATGAAATCATATTTTTTTGTGAAGTAAAATCGATCTGGTCCACTTGAAGACCACAAAAGCGGATCCTGAATATTGGAAATAAAAGAAACATAACATTTACCACGTATGTTTTGATACGTAACTCTAAATTCTTCTTCTGACCAAAATAACATATTCATATCTGAATTTTTGGCATAGTCTTTAAGAGGAATTTGTTCAGCTCTGTACATTCGTCTTACAATCAGCTTAATATTTTTTCTATCCCAATTAACAAAATATATTGCCAATATTTCTGCAATTTCAAATGGATCTGGAGTGGTTTCATTTGAACCACGCATTGTGTTTTCCAATGACTTACGATAATATTCTGGGTATTTAGTTTCATCAATTACTTTTTGTTCTTGATTACTTACATTTTTATTTGTCTCTATGTGCTCAAATGGTTCTTCGCCAATCATATTTGATCTTGAAGCCGTTTTGAATATTTCAGGTTGTAGATATACAAAACTACCAACTTTATACTCTTCATCAAATAATTTAAATTTATAAAAATATGAAATGTTTTTTTCTTCTTCAATGAACTCATGTAATTCAGGTTCTTTTGATTTTTGTTCTAAGGCGAAATCTTCACAATTACTACAATGACCTTCTCTAATAACGGTATTTGGTTCTAAAAATTTTGGATACTCGAATCGTCCAAATTCATCATCATATTGAAGTTGATAAAAAAATGAGTTTTTATTTTGGCGATTAACAGGTTCTAAGAGATCTTGTAATTTTGAATTACCAAGTTTAAACCAATTTTTGCTAGGTATTTTTTGTACAACATCTATTATTTTGACTACATTTTTAATATCTATATTAGTACAATTTTTCAGAGCAAATATTTCTTGAGGATCTGCTGTTTCACCTAGTACAGTTTCATAACTATGCATAAAAAGTTGAATATGGGCTTTATTTTTAAATTTTGTCTTAAAAAAATATTCAATACGTCCAATTAATGGTATTGTTGAAACATTATTTTTCACAACAATAAACATTTTTTCACTCAGTACTTGGTCCCTCCATAATACTTGATTTACATTAACATGTACGTCGGTTATATCTTTTTTTATTTTAGTGTTGCAAACATCATCAAACACATTTTTTACAAGTTTATTCACGTTTCCTTCATTTTCTTTATCATCAATATCTAATTGAGCTGCAAACATATTTTCAAACACATCTTTTACTAATTCTGTAGTAGTCGCTTTGCTGAACTCTCGTTTATTAATATCAGCTTTCACGTATTGACTTCTTTGTCCTGTTCTCCTGGACAGTCCTTTGACAGGTTTTGCAGCCCCTGAAAGTTGGGTCAATGTTTCAATACATTGAGTTTCTGCTAAAGGTAAATGATAAGTGTCGTTTAAATCATATTCTAATACTTGATTGAGAACGAATTGAGCATGAGAAATAAGATCTTCTTCGGTAAATTTATTGCCTGTTGCTGGGTTTATAGAGTTTATCACACAATTTAAAATATCTTCGTAAGTTGGATCATCGTCTTCACTACTTAAAATATTTTTAATTACTTCTCTACTTAAATGTATTTTTTCAGTTACTGATGTCATGTATTTTTTATACTTGGGGTGTGGCTCAATTAACAAATAATCAGCATATTCAGTGTTTATACCTATTAATGCCTGAGTACCTCCATCATATGACGATAACCACCACTCCAATATTGGTCCCAGCGCCATAGCAGGTATTCCATCTTCAACACCTGGATTGTTATCGTAAATTGGTTTTACATAGCCAGTCATATATATCATGACGTTTCTCTCCATTACTCCTGAATCTATTGAGCACATGTGCCCATTTTCATCATAAATGCTGTAATTTGTTAAGTTGTGTTGCACTATATCATCATTATCGGTGTAAATATTAGCCAAAATTTCGTTTGTTAATACAATACACTCTGGTTCGGCATCTGAAGGTATATACACTTTTTCTGTCTTTGTTTTATTACAAAATTTGCAGCGTACCTTAGTATTGGTGATTGGAATATCTGTCTCATTTTCATCGTTGTCAGAAGAGAAATTGTTTCCTTCTTGTGTAATTGATGGTTCTTCCAATTTACGTTTAACACCTTTCGGTTCTGGGTCGCCACTCTTACCACCAGCCATGTGCTCGAACTTTATATAATTATCAAACCTAATGGAGCAAACAAAAAATATAAATAAAATTATTTAAAACAAATAATGGTCAAATTATATTGTACTCGTAAAATCACGATTAAAATATATTGTCGGTACTCTCGCTTACCGGTATTTACTATGGTCTTAAAACAATAGCAGTGCCAAAATTCTTAAAAGCTGTAATAATAACGACACAAACGAATAGGATAACTGACTAATGGCAATTCTGGCGATACGGTTCACCCCCAGTGCCACAGGTGTTAAACTACAGTACTGCAAAGAGTGCAAAGTATTGTCTAATGTCAATGATAAAGTGTTTCCTGCCACTGTTCAGCAAAAATTGGCGCGAAACTACCATTTATTTTGTTATCAATAAACTTGATATAATTTTTATTAAAGATATTTACCTAGTCCTTGGAATTAGATTTTTGTTCCCGCAATGGCCTCCATAGATTTGTGGCGGTGTATACAAAATGTGCACGAACGCGGCCTAGTGTTCACTTCTACAAACATTACTCAAATGCCCTATTGACTACATGCTTACATAGTACATAATATATCAATATTATACATACTGAAACTATTGATCTTTTACTATTTGAAGTAAACCTAAATTAGCTATCTCTAAAATTTGTTCCTTTTTTAAACTTTAGAAACTATTATTTTTTAACTAATCCAATTAGGTAGGTAGGAAAGTATTTTGAATTTTTCAAATTATGTTAAGTACTCAAGTGCGGTTACATAATAACACTAACAAATACCTACATAATACACCTAGTTCAGTTACCTAGACTAAATATAAAACAAAATCTGTCTGAATTAACTAAATTAAATTACTTTCCCAAACTCGACTAAATTGGTCTATTTACATTAAACTACTAACATAGTCAAAACTCTATACTAGGCCATTTATTGATGAATTTATCTAATTGATTTTGGTCTTTATTATACAATAAAAGTAATTTTATTGTAATTTGCTATATGCAGTAGCGCATTATGAATATAAAATACAATTTAAAAGTATAACTCAACTTCAGTTGAGACTTAAGAGAATCGTAATAATTTATAAGATACTTAAATATGCAAGTCGATATTAATGTATCATTATGAAGTATATAGCCCTAAAGATACTTCATTAAATATTCAATTTGAATGCAATAAAATAATAGCTTTTTGAGTTATTTCACACTGCTTTCTTGTATGCATTTATTTAAACAGTTCTATTGTTATTATAGATATTTTATTAAGGGTTTTCAGGTTTATTTCAGTTATAACTTATAATTGTCAGTATTTGAATCAGATAAATAACTTATAAGATAAGTGCATATTACAAAGAATTTTCTGGGAATTCTTATTAAAACTACTATAATTAGTAATATCAAATATAAATATATTTCATTATTTTTTGTAAGCTTTTTCTTTATGCTTTCAACAATATTTTTCCGTCATATTACTATACGTTGCTACAGTAAACTTTACAAGTAATTAATTGTATTAATGTTTTATCAAATTTTGTGGATAAGAAATTAATTATATTAAAATATTATATTTATGTTTAAAATTTGATATGAAAAAAAAAATGATAAAATATTGATGAAATAGACTACATAATGACCAATCTCTCTAAAAAGTTCCAGATTTACCGATATGCAAATCGTCTTTCAGTAATTATATTTTCTTCTCGGACATAAGGTAGGTACTTTTGTATTGTTAAGTCTACATACTTCGCAATTTGGTAATTTATTCAAAATTTATTTGATAATCTTAAGTGTATTTTGAATTATTTTAAAAATATTTAGTATTAATTACTTAATAGTTAGTACTTACTAATTAGGTACCACCAAGTTTTGCAATTTTTTTGTTTGATCAGGTGCTAATTGTTTCAATAATTGTTATCTCTATTGTTCTTTTAATAAATTATCTAAATAATTTATATTTTAGTATTTTTATTATGAATTATTTTACAATACGGAAATATGTAAACCATAGGTATACTATAATATACCTAATTTTAGTTTATTGCTTATCCAGTTTATAGAATTAAAAGTTCCTAAGTAATTCTTCATCGAAAATTCGAAATTATATATACAATGCCTAAGTAATATAGGATATATAGCTAGATAATACTATCTATCTGCAATTGAAAATATTGACTAGTTATATTATTACGGAATAAGAATGAAGAATACAATAATACATATAGACTATAGTTGTTGATACTTTTTACTTAATATACATATACGATATACCTATACCTACTTAATAGTTAATACTGAAGTCTAAACATACCTATTCTAACCCATCTTGTATCTATTATCTAATTATATTTTATTTGTAGCATGGTCTTCGGGTTGCGGTAATTGTTAAAATGTCCGAAAATACAAATTATTCAATTCATAAAAGTAAAATTTAAAAATATTAAAAATATGTTCTTACAAAATAATTATAATCATATTTGATTATTATTCTATATAAAAGTTTGAAAAATATAAATTATGCAAAGGTAAATAATTAAGTTCTAAAATATGAGAATTTAAATAAGTTACGTGACTTAAATTACTTATAATATTTAAAAATGTTTCTGATGTCGACTGACAACTTATTATTACCTACTAATTTATGTACATAAATGTAATTTAATAATTTTTTTTTATTCATGTTCTTTTTTTTGCGAGTTTCGTTTCATTTATGCTAAATCCCCCCCCCCCCCCACTTCCTTGCAAAATTTGTCTATTAGGCATTAGCTTTTAAAATTTCAAATTATTAGAAAACTGTCATATTATAATTTATATATAGTAAATGCTCAAGCCAATTGTTCAAGATTTTTAAAAATTATTGATTATACAATGATAAGAAACTGGAGTGTTGGTTGAAAAAAATATTTTCTATTTATAATATGTTTCCTCATTAAAAGATATCGACATCGATAAGATAAATGTATTACATTACATTATAAGTAACAAGTAATAACTGTAGATATAAAATATAAATCGTGTAATAATATTGAATATAGCCTGTAGTCGCAGGTATTCTTAGGGTAAGTATGGCTATAAAATATAGATTAACAATGGACTGTAGAGTCTAATTTCATAAACTACATTGCAGACATACAAACATCAGACGCGATAAACATTGGATAGATATCTATCATGGTAAAACCTCCTTGTAAAGAATTTGTTTAGAACCAAGTCTGAACAATTGATTTTCTGTTATGAAGGAGTTTCCGTTATGCAGAGATTAAAATATACACACGTTATACGATACTATTATTACTTTCCATTGAAACGAGATTTTTGCATTAGGTATATGGGATCTCTTATAAAAATATTTTACTGCACTACCTATGGTTGATTTCCATTACATTTTGATCTGTTGTACTTGATAATTTTTATTGTGTAGGTATAACTGTATTAAAAGTAATAAATAATAATCAAATATAAAATTGTATATTTGTATAAGAAAATTAATTAGGAATGAAATTTAATTTTTTTTTTAAATTTATTTACGGTTTTGAATTGACTACCTAATTTTAATTATTTTTTCTGGATCGAAAATTAATGTTCTAGGTTTTTTGTACAATAGTAAAAAAATTAGTCTTTAAAAAAAATCTTTTTTAAATTAGATTTTTTGTTTTTAAAATTTTCGTTCAGGATTCATGTGGTGTAAGAGGCCGACGCTAAGATTAAGGGAGTCAATATGCGATATACCAAAAGTAAATATTTTTAACTAAAATAACAAGGAACGAGGAAGTCCGTGCATGGCGTGCATGCAATATGTATAGATACTATATAGCCATATAGGTAGGCAATATTTTAATAGTTCCGCTGAGAATCTAGGTATTTTCTATTTTTATTTTTAATATTTTCATTTTCATAGTTTTTTAATTGAGTAAAGAAATGTTTATAAAAAATTGTAGCTTTTTCGGCTATTATTTTAATGCCGAGATATTTATAGAGGGTAATGTTAGCAATAAATGATGGTGCATTGGTGCATAAGTAATTCTGCGACGTATAATAATTAATAATAATTTAGAAATATTGAATTTTGTTTAGATTAAATTTTCAGCCGTTTCCTATGTTTACTTACATACTTATGTATTGTATGGAATCCCATACAATACGGGCATTAGGAGCGATTTGTATAATAATTTAATTTTTAAATGGTAAATTTTTTTTTTTTTTGAGAACAATATTTGTTGAAATCTGAAATATGCATTAAGAGTTAATTGTCTTTTCTTAATATGGCTTTATCATGTTAATGTTTTGTCGAGATTAAGACCTAAATATTTTACAATGTTAAAAGAGGGAATGGTTAGATTATTTACGGATATTTTAGGACAAATTCCATAACTTAGAGTGAAGGTTATATGAACGTTATTATCGTGGTTTAGTTTATTCATTATTTAGCGTACCATTTAGAAAGAAAATTTAAATGAGATTGCTGAGGCAATTAATTGGTCATTGCGTATTATTGATAGTATAATTATTAATTTTGTCATCGACATAGTAGACCTTGACGGCGGAGAATCTGTAAGAAACTAAATATGAATACGTTAGTGCTCTCTAGCGGAAAAACAGGTGGTACCCTGTAGGAGCCTGGAAGTCATCGCGATTTGAATATACATTTACGAGTTGAAATCAACACTGATAGATGACACTACTATTATCGTCTGGAATTGATTCGTAAACGTGTTGGTCGATGGTCAGTGCTTAGTGAATAGTGGCTAGTGCTTAGTGAATAGTGGCTAGTGCTTAGTACTTTAGTAGTCAGTGGTCATTTTTCTTTGGTGTGTCACCTGTCAATTATTCAAAGGTTTGATTTTAACTTTTAAATTTAATTAAAGATTATTCTTTATAGATGCATTGAGAATTGAGATGTAGAGTTATGAAGACATAATATTTAAACTCAAACTAATTGGTTGGAAACTTGAAACAGTTGAAGCCTTCAGAAAAGTAACCAAAGACAATAGTGGATTTATTTCACTCAATTAAGTAATGTGTAGATATATTTGATAGTATGGTATTTTTGTCTTAAAAGTAGACTAAAGTAACATTAGTTATAAGCCTATTACTTAGTGTCATTAAAACAATTTGAAATCTTTGGAAAAAACCTTTTTTAGTGACTGAGTTATTTTATTATTAAAGTATAATAACACGTGAATATTGTGAATCTAAAACCGTTTTAATGTTATTAAATAAATGTAGCTTATGAGATGTCTGAATATCAAAATAAGGTCATAAGTCATAGTTTTTCTAGAATGAAATTTATTAAAATTAGATTTTGTAAGATTTTTATGATTTCACTTCTTCTTTTTATTTATCATATTTTTAATTTGATTGTAATTTTGTTTTTTGCTTTCAGAAACTGAGTAATTGAGAAGAAGAGCCTATATAATAATATTATAATCTTAATTTACAGGCTAGTATGATAATGCCACATATTTAAGCTAACAGGTGCTCTTTTAGTAACATTTTCCATGATATTTCATCTCAACTTCATACTTAATTTTAATTATTTTTAAAAAGTATTTTAAATCTGTATGCTAAGACACAATAAGAATATGTTTTTAATTTTTTTTATTTTTACAAGATATTTACAATATATTCAAAGAACAATAAGTAAATTTAATAAGAGTAATAAAACATGAAAAGTATGATGGAAGAAGCTACCCATTGATGACACTTATGAAAATTAATATTAACTTTACCTATTTATTTCTTTTATTTTTATTATATCATAATTTATTTTTAATTTTTAATAATTTAGACTTGAACAACAGTTATGACTCTTGACACCAATTTATTTTAAGACATGTAGGAAGGATTCTAAATACACTAAGAACACTCTTATTTTCAATTATTAATTACATATTATTAATAACTTATATTAAACTTTAATTCTGATTTAATTAAATTGATACATTTTCTTGAATTCTAAATAATTATATTTTTGTTTAATAGAAACTAAGTAAGAAATACAGTCATGATGATATATAGTAGGTATATTATGATATTAAACTAAGTTTGTTTTAGATCTAATTATTAGATCAATTATATTTGTGATTAATGATTATAATTGATTGCATTTAATGAGTATTTTTTTAAATTTTTTTTTATTTGAAGTTTAAGTATTAAGTTATTTATTATATATCTATTTATTTCTTCTTATTTTTAAGTTTTATTAGCAAAATAACAATAATGACTAAATATTTAAATAAATTAATATTTAAATAGGTAACTAATTATACAAAAAACGATCTTTAAAATAACATCTTAGGAAATACATTTAAATTTTACCTTGAGTAAAATTAGATTATTCAAATAATAATCAATATTAAAAATAAACTAAATAGTTTTAACAACTATATTCATTCTTTTTTTTAGATTTAATTGATTTATTACCATTCTGAAGTCTTAAGTGTATTAAACTAGATTGTGATGTATTGTTCATTAGCTAACATAAAAAATTGTGTAAGATAATAATATAGTACGAATAATCCATATTTTTCACTTGAATAATATATGTTTTATTTATTTTTTAGATTTTCAGTAATTTTTATCATGTGATAATAGGAATTTTCTTATTAATGTTTAAAGTTCATAAAACCCAAAATTGGATTGTAACTCACTGGTTGAAAACTACTGTTCTATATAGTATTATAACCATTATATTTTATAATAAGTCAATTCACTCTCATATTAAAGTTAACTATCTAAAATTGGTTCTTTGGAATACCAATTAACATACCAAGTATGTTGTTGTTGTACATATGTAAGAGGGAAACAACATGTGTAAATTAAGCGTTCTTTTAAATTTAATTAGATAATGAAATTGTTTATTGTTTTCAATGTAATGGTTTAAAATCATTTTAATTAATAATAGTTTAAATTTTATTTGGTTTTAGATATTTTTAAGTAAACATAAAATCAATGGATAATTTTTGCTTTAAATATACATCATTTATCTATACATTTTCTATTTTTGTAAGCATATATTTATGCAATATTTGTTGGCACTTTGCTTTGTTTACTGTGACTTGAAAAGAAATACATTACATTTACTTGTTAAAATAATTTGTTTTTAATAGACAGCAAAATGTTACATAGGTTAATCTTGATAATTATATAAATACATATATATTCTTGATCCTATGCTGTTAATATAATATTATTTATGATATTTTTTTTTAAGTCTTTTAAATACAAATATACATGTTCTTTTTGAAGTCTGTTATTATGTCGATAATATATAAATTTTATTTAAATATAGGAACTTTGAGGATTTTTTGAAACTTGCTTAGAGCTACTTGATTATGTTTAAAAGTTAGTGTGATAATACTAATTTATATCTTAATTTAAATAAATCCAAGTACCTATATATTTTATATTAATCAAGGATAAATATTTCATATTTGTTTTGTTCTAACGTACTTATACATTGATTGTAAATATATTTTAAAGACTGTAATTGTATACTTTTATCCAATTAAAGTATCTTAGTATATTTTTTGATTAAAGATTTAACTTTAAATTTTAAAAATCATGTATTATATCAAAATAATTATATTTAAATTATTTCTACACAATATTTTGAAAAAAAAAAATAACACTATTTATACTTAATTTTGTTTGGTTTTAGTAAAATCAATTTTTACATATTATACGAGTCTGCATGGAGCTTTTACTATTTATGCTATGTATCCCTGAAATTATTAATTAAGTAAATGCAATATTAAAGCTTATAATTTCATTAGTTGTACCTTTTATACAAGTTAAAATATTTATTAATTGCTTACTGACAATATTTAATGCTAATCTAACCCATCTTACATCTACAGTATACATTTATTAGTATTCTGTATCATAGACAATAAACTTTACATTAAGGAAATTCACTTTTTTTTTAGTTATAACTTATAAAATATGAATCTATGACTCATAATTAAAATGTATAAATAAATATTCTTTATTTGACTTTAAACTAGGATAATGGTATTATCTGATGGTAAAATAATTAATAAGTTTAATATAATTAATAACAAAGTATTATAAAGAAAAAAGTTCAATTGTGAAAAAAACATCTTATAAAATCAGTGATGTACATAAGGAGAGGGAGTTGCGTGTAATATAATCAATATATTATTCTCTGTACATATACGTACCTATATCATTAGTACCAAATTAGTAATTAGTAATTACTTTGATACACATCGAATCAACGTACAATCTAAATTTTAGGTCTTAAATCAATACAAAACCCTTAGGTATATTGCGATCATATATGGTACAAATTATTGTTCATAAACCAAATTCCACGTCGGTACTTATGTCAGAAGAGATCTTAAATTCATGGCCACGATTTATATATTTATATACATAATATCTTAAATCATGTTTATGGTCAAACGTATTAAGTATAACAGAATATTAAGTAAGTATAGAGAGTTAACCTAGCTAAGTACTAATTACCCACTGCACATTGTTGAGAACTTGGCTCACTTAAGACTAATATGCGTATTGTAATATAGTAGGTAATCCAAGCAATATATTATTTTTTAAGCGATTGCGTCGCCGAGACTAATATTATTTAGAATAAGTAGTAGTCAATCAACTGAATCAATCGTACATTCGTACGGAAATCTTCAATTCATAAGATTCATTTGATACTGTGTTAAACATTACCTAATTAGTGGAAATTAAATATTCTTTAATAATTGATTTAATTAATAAATAACTCAAATATCTATATATACATAGTGTTAGTGTTTGAAATATTTCCTTAAGTTATAACATAATATTTTTCAAATCTTAATAAATTATTTTCCAAGGTTCGAACCACGAGAACTAATGACTATTGACTATGTAACAAGTAAAGAGTGAAGATCGCACACTACAGTAGTTAGCAATGGTCATGAATCATGACTCATGAGTCATGAGCCATGGTACTGTAGAGTTTAGATATATATTATATATTATATGTATAATATTCGGTATATATAGAATTAAAAATATTAATAAGCAAAGAAGTAATCATGTAATATGTATAACAATAACATGATAAAGCTAAAAATAAATTCCGTCGTTATGATAATATAGCATTATAATCATGGTGTCTACTGTCCACATTAGTGTAATATGCCAAATAAACACGACGAGGTTACTACTTATTTAGTTTGATAAATTTGACTGCTTATTAACTATTTTTTCTATTTGTATTATACAAAACAATGAAAATTTAACTAATTTTAGTCCGCAGAGAGGTTAACTTTTTGTTCAAACGAATAAAGATAATATGTACATTATCTATTGATTTCAACTGAAAGCCTGGCAACACTGACGTGATGAATGAATAGTATGATCATGATCAAAAAGTTCTAAGCAATATAACAATTATAACATAGTACTATTGGTAGTATTGGTACTATGGTAATTGCCAATTGGTAGGCACTAGGCGCTGATCGTTGGCACATGGCACGAATAAAAAATTATTTATTATAGAAATTAAAATATTTTTTTTTCATATTAAAAATTAAAATATTCAACAATCAGTTTTTAATTACTCACCATTCTGTTGTTGGTTGAAAAAGAATATGGAAATACGTAATGGATGTCACTAAGTACAATCTTAATACTAGTTATTTTTTTTTAATGTTCTCATTGTACACGAGTTCTGACTATAAACCATTTGAAAATTTTAATTATTATTTTTCAATTATCTAATTCATATCTATTTCCACTTCAATTATTTTTCAAATGTATTCAGCTATGGAATCAATAATTCCAAATGAAAATTCTGGTAAGTACTACTAATGCTATTTCTGCTATTATGTTATTATTTCACGTTTTCCTATTCTTTGATTGATAATGATATGTGAATATTAACCATTTATATTATGTAATAATTTTGTACTTTATATTATAGAGATGATAATTGAAAATGTACAAGATTGTCAAGAAAGTCCTAAACGTATCAAATATACATTAAGACATACAAAGACATCATGTTTAATTGATGACACTTCAAACAAAAAAAGTCATTTCCAAGGTAAGATAGGCTGTGAATTTTGTCATAAAACAAAAACAGAAAATGTGTATATACCTTCAGATGCTCAACCCGAGTGCATTGTTTTAGCTAATGAAGTTTTGGCTAATATTTTTACTGATAATTTTAATATTATTCAACACAACCTTATAAATTATAGTATTTATGATGAAAATAGACACATGTGCGCAATAGATTCTGGAATGATGGAGAGAAATGTAAAGCTGTATATAACTGGCTATGTAAAACCAATTTATAACCATAGTTTAAGTATAGAAGATGGAATTGCAGGTATGGCGGGACCAATATTAGAATGGTGGTTATCGTCTTATGATGGAGGTGCTCAGGCATTAATAGGTATAAACACTGAATATGCTGATTACCTATTAATAGAACCACACCCTAATTATAAAAAATATATGACTTCTGTGATTGAAAAGATAAATCTGAGCAAAATAGTAATTGAAAAAATATTAGACAATCATGAATCTGATGATTCAACTTATGAAGATATTTTAAATTATGTTGTAACATCTATAAATCCAGCAACAGGTAATAAATTTTCAGAAGATGATCTTATTACTCATGCACAGTTTGTACTCGATCAAGTAACAGACTATGACTTAACTGGTATGTATGATTTTCCATTATCAGAGACTCAGTTTATTGAAACGTTGACCCAACTATCAGGAGCTGCAAAATCTGTTAATGCACCAACCAGAAGATTAGGTAGATTGGGACAAGGAACTACGTGCATTAAAACTGATTTCAGTCAACGAAAGTTCAGTAAAGCCACTACAACAGAGCTGGTGAAAGATGTGTTTGAAAATGTGTTTGCTGCTCAATTAGATATAGATGATAATCAAAGTGAAGAAACAATGAATAAACTTGTAAAGAATGTATTTGATAATGTATGTGATGGAAATGTTAATAATGATCTATCAGACATCAATTGTGTTGAGCATCAAGTGATGTGGAATGATAAAAAACTCTGTAAAAAAATGTTTGTTGTTGTCAAAAAAAATGCCTCAAAAATACCATTAATAGGACGCATAGAATATTTTTTTAATACAACATTTATAATGAAGGCCCATATTCAGCTCTTTATGCATAGTTATGAAACTGTGTTAGGTGAAACAGCAGACCCTCAAGAAATATTTGCTCTCAAAAAATGTAAAAACATAGATATTAAGAATGTAGTCAAAATAATTGATGTTGTACAAAAAATACCTAGCAAAAATTGGTTTAAGCTTGGTAATTCAAAATTACAAGATCTCTTAGAACCTGTTAACCGCCAAAATAAAAAATCATTTTTTTATCAATTACAATATGATGACACATATGGACGATTCGAGTATCCAAAGCCTGAAGAACCAATTACTGTTATAAGAAATGAATATTGTAGTAATTGTGAATTTATTGATTTGGAAAACAAATCAAAAGAACCTGAATTACTAGAATTCATTGAAAAAGAAAATGGTATTTTGTATTTTTATAAATTTAAATTATTAAATGAAGAGTATAAAGTTGGTAATTTTATATACCTATTACCTGGTACATTCTCAGCAGCTACTAGATCAAATATGATAGAAGAAGAAGAATATGAGTTAATAGATACAAATAAAAATACAAATAATCAAGAACAAAAAATTATTGATGAAACCGTGTATTCTGAGTATTATCGTAAAACACTAGAAAATACAATGCGTGGTTCTAATGAAACTACTCCAGATCCATTTGATATTGCAGAGATATTAGCTATTTATTTTATTGATCGTGTTGGTAAAAAAGTCAATTTAATTGTACGTCGTATGTATAGAGCTGAACAAATTCTTTTAGAAGATTTTGCTAGAAATGCAGATATGAATATGTTATTTTGGTCAGAAGAAGAGTTTAGGATCACATGTGAATATATATGTGGTAAATGTTATGTTTCCTGTGGAAACAACATTCAAGATCCACTTGTATGGTCTTCGCGTGGACCAGATCGATTTTATTTCACAAAAAAATATGATTCTGTAACTGATTCTATTGTTCCTGAGTATAAACTTCCATGTGAAGCTAAACTTATTGGAAAAGAAGTATATGTTAATAATAACTATAAGTATGTGGATGAAGATAAATTACAGTATATACCATCATATAAAAAAATCAAACCCCTCAGAGGACTTGATATATTTGCTGGCTGTGGCGGTTTGTCTAGAGGCTTAGAAGATAGTGGTCTTGTTATAAGTAATTGGGCCATTGAATGTGATGATTTAGCTGCAGGAGCATTTAAATTAAACAACCCAGAGTCAACTGTGTTTGTTGAAGATTGTAATCATTTATTGAAATTAGCAATGTCTGGAGAAAAAAACAAATAGTAAAAATCAAAACATACCACAAAAAGGTGAAGTTGATTTTATTTGTGGAGGTCCCCCTTGTCAAGGGTTTAGTGGAATGAATAGATTCAATTCTGGTCAATATTCATTGTTCAAGAACTCTCTGATTGTTTCATTTTTATCATATATTGATTTCTATCGTCCAAAATATTTTGTCATGGAAAATGTTCGAAATTTTGCATCATTTAAAAATAGCATGATCCTTAAATTGACTCTAAGATGTATCACACGTATGGGCTACCAATGTACATTCGGTATTCTACAAGCTGGTAACTTTGGTGTACCTCAAACTAGAAGAAGGTTAATCATTATGGCAGCAGCTCCTGGTGAAACATTACCATTTTACCCAGAGCCTACACACGTCTTTAATAGAAAAAGTTCAAGTTTAACCATTCAAATTGGCGATAAAAAATTCAAAACTAATTGCAAATATGAAGATTCAGCTCCCATGAGAACCGTCACTGTATATGATGCTTGGTCTGATTTACCTGAAATACCAAATGGAGCTTCTGAAGAAGAAATCTTATACAAATCAAAGCCCATTACTCATTTACAAAAATTATTTAGATATCCAGATAAACGATGTGCAGAATCTGTATTGAGTGATCACATATGCAAGGACATGTCACCTTTGGTTCAAGCTAGAATGGAATTGATACCAGTAGGTGAAGGAAGTGACTGGAGAGATCTACCCAATACCAAAGTAAAATTACCTGATGGAAGTTATACCAATAAACTTTTATATACTCATCATGATATCAAAAATGGTTATGGTCCAAATGGTGAATTACGCGGTGTTTGTCAATGCGCAAGTGGTGAAAAATGTGATCCGCAAGATCGTCAAATCGATACAATCATCCCTTGGTGTTTACCACATACCGGTAATAGACATAACAACTGGGCTGGTTTATATGGTCGTTTAGCATGGTCAGGTTTTTGTTCAACCACTATTACAAATCCTGAACCAATGGGAAAACAAGGCAGAGTAATTCATCCTGAGCAACACCGTGTGGTCAGTGTTAGAGAGTGTGCTCGTTCTCAAGGTTTTAAAGATTCTTTCATATTTCATGGACCAATCATCAACAAACACAGACAGATCGGTAATGCAGTTCCTCCGCCCATGGGTACAGCTATTGGTCATGAAATAATCAAAGCTATTTTTCAAAACCATGATCTGTAATTATTATAGTTGTATTATTTACATTTTTATTTCATAGTTTTTTTTTTAATTTACAATTAATTAATTTAAGTTTGATGAAGGTCCAAAGAGTAATTTATATTTTTAAGTGAAGGTAAAATTATTTTTAATATTTTCCAATTAAGTTGTTTTAATTGTTTAATTATGTTGTTAAAGTATTTGCATACAGTTATTTTCATTGGTAGTAAATTTATTTAAGTTTTGATCTGTTTTAAATTTTTTTTTAACTAATCTAACCAATATTATCAATGTATATATGCCCAGCTATGCAACTAATTTTAGTAACTGAACTATTATTTTTTTTAAATGTATAATTTGTTTAATTATTTTTGAATTATTATAAAAAAAAAGGAAATACTTTTTTTGTTATTTGAAAAAATTTGATACATAATTTAATATATTATACTATATTATGTAATGTTTGTATTATTCAATATTGTGTCTAGTTGATTTTATATTTTTTTTGTTTCATAATTTAGTCATCATGATTACTTGTTAGAAGTTAAATATTAATTATTTAAACCCTGGGTATAGTCGTACTTTTAGAATGGTAAAACCTCGGTTTACCATTATTATTGTTGAAATTATGAAATTTATACTGTATAATTTGAGTGAAAGATTCCCACTTTTAGATCATTAAGCAATAAGCATACCCTGATAATATGAATGATTAATATGATCATGTGCATTTTGATTGTTAAACTATTAATATTCCTACATCCTGCTCATAAATACAAAAGAACATTGAGAACATACACAATTAAAAACAATTATGAATTACAGTAATTTTTTTAGCAGTTTTAGTCATTGATTTATAGATCCATATTTTTTTTAATAGAATATTGAGCAATGGAATTGTACATCCTTGTACCATCTACTCGGTTTCTATCACTGACTTAATAGAATTTAATTTTTCTACAGAACCAATGACTTAACAGAAATTTAACAATAACTGTTTTTAAGATGTTTAATTTTAAAAATTTTCTATGTGGGTGTCATTTAACCATGTGTATGGAACCAGTGGAATTGCTAAGAAGCAGATTAGAGAGTTGACCTTTTCAATTGATGTGCTTAATGGAAAAAAATGTATTCTTCATTAGATAACAATTATAATACATGGCCACATAGGTAACTATAGAGTATAGATTATTATATGTATATAATTTATATTGATAAAAATTGACTTTTTGCTATTAATTACACTAAATAGTTATAAATAATATCAAATTTTAGCACAGTTTAAAGTTGCTAAACACTTAAACTTATACTGAATATTTGACCATTTTGATTTTTAATTAACACATTTTATCAGATAATGAAATTTTTAAACTTTATTGTTCTATAAAAAATTGAAAGCACTTTTTCAAATTTTATTAAGTCTGGTATCAGAACTCAGAAGTAGCCCATGTTCATATTAATTAATTTTTTTAAAGTTATTCTACATTTACTATAATTATGTGATGAATGTCAAGTATTGGTTATTATTTCGAAGTTCTCTTTCTCTCTAACTTAACAGGTTCTACAGCTTTTATTTTAACAAATTGTTTCTTAGAAGATTTTTAGAAATTTACAACTCAATTTTTCAGTATGATAATTTTTTTTTTTTTTTTGATACCTTCATGACTGCATACTTAAAAACAGTTGAAATTCGATAAAACTCCGTTCACATTTCCTATGAGTGGTGTACTTGGCTAACGTTTGACACCAATAGTTACTTGCCATGCCATCAAAATGTTTATAGTTTACTTGAACAATATAATTAGTCACTATATTCCCTGGTAAGTTTCCTGACGATTGTCATTTGTCGATAAACGCGATACAACTCGGAGGAACGGCCAATATACTCGTACCTTACTAACTATTAAGTTTGTTCCCTGAGATTGAGTATTGTAGCGAGTGTACCTATTGAATACCGATTGGTATAATATTATTGACATAATGGGTATCCGATAACATTTCTGAAATAGAATTTAAATTTATCTTGATGTTTATTTAAAAATGACTTTGTCGCGTTTTAACGTTCATTGTTACTTTTCAATATTTTCCAAATTCTTCGTGTTAAATATTTTTAAAGAAGATTAGATAGGTTTAATAGTTTGAATTCTAACTAGTGAAAAAGTTGTTTTCAAATAAGTTTTTTAGCAAACTTAATTTGTCCAGTATATTTCATATTCCTAACTAGCAACTGTTGACATGAGCAGTTACATACACACAGGGTTAATTAAGAGGTTATAACTACCTCCAAATTACATAAAATATTTTCTAAAAATTTTAAAATGTTGATATATATAATAATACTATTGATAATATAATATATATTATTATAATCGATGATAATATTTATATTTAAATAAAATTTATTTTTGTATAATATCGCCTGCTATTTTATTTGTACAGATGGCGCTGACGTTTACGATTTTTATTTCGTATTTAATTTTTAAATTCTTATAACGAGTACTTAACAATGTTATTCATGACATTTTCTTATATCCTGTTACCAAAGTGTAATTATATATTTCATTAGTTTATTGGTTATTTATTACGATAAAGTCAATGCTTTATTTTCAGTTTAACACGAATTTATTCAAAATTAAATAAGTATTAAAATTTTAAACTCTAAAAAATTAATATTTAAAATTATAACGATTAATTGATCTTATTTTATGATTGTTGATACTCGTAATAACAACTTATAAAACTATTATACTACTCTTTTTATTTACCTTTAATAATCTGCATTAAAAAATAAAATTTAGAGGAGGGCTATGCATCCAGATAGTATATTACCTACTGTTAAGTGTAGTAAGCTATTTCTCCAGATTCTAGTAATATAGTGAAATTATAATTAATAATAATACTCAAAATACTCTTTAAACATTGAATATTAAACAAATTTACAATGTATATAAAATGTAATCTAAAACTTGTAACTATTACTTCAATTGAACAGTATAGGTAAATTTTTATTTAATTACTGTATTTTATTAGTTAATAAATAAATAAAAAACGTTTCTCAATAAGGTAAATGTAAAATACTTGTTGCAAAATATGAACGCGAATGTGTGTAAATGATTTAAAAATTTTTTTTCCCAGGTTGATCACAATGATTCGTGTATATGTTACGACGAATGATGTAAATGTGGTAAATGACGTCAATCCCCGATAAATGACATCATTTGCCTAAAAATTGGTAAATGTTGTAAATGTAGACATTACTCAGTTATTGTCGTCAATCCCTAGTTTAGTTGGAGAATGGTGTTCAATACATTTATGTAGGTGTGAACGATCAGTGATAAATGTATACATACACGAATAAGCTTCGTTAATTAAAAATATCATGATGGAAGTAGATAGATTAACGTAAATCTCAACTACAGCAATAACGTCGATAAACCAAGTAATTCTATGAGATAATCTATTAGGTAGTTAATTAGTCAGTATCTAGTATAATGTATACGCACATATTCTAGCGAGTTGTATATGTGACGAGTGCGTGTTGTATAATTATTTGTAATAATATGTGTTACTCGTGAACTAAATATAATAAAAGTTAAATTACATTATAGTGTTGTAGTTCTGTTTAATAAGGTATGGACGGTATGGTCATAAAGCTAGGATTTTAATGACCTAAAAAATACATAAAAATACAAAATTATTATTAATTATTATTTATTAACTTTTTATATTTCACAAAATAGGTAAACATCTGTTCTAAAAAGTAAATTAAACAAATATATTCAAATTTGAGTTGAAAATTAATTATATTACTTTTTTAATATCAATAGATTGGAATAGGTATCGGAATTACCTATTCAAAATATATTAAAAAAAGCTTGGAATAAACAAAAATGAGTTTAATTATATAAAATTAACGAAATACTTGTAAAAATTACTTGAATATGCAATAAAATGCATTTAATACAAAAAATGCAAAATAAAAATTACACGTCATAAATTGTTATATGACGAAACAAATTTAGTTTTTGGTTAAAACTGTTAAGCACTTTAAGAAAAAATAATGCAAGTCATTAAAATTCTAGCTCTAGCGGTATGAAGAATCAGAAAAAATTTAAAGGAGCAATCGACAAAATTATCAACAGTACTAATAAGAGAGGTGACAATATATTTTAGGTTAAGTAAAGATATAGGTACCTACCTAAAATAAATTAAGGTATAGTTAATATAAAAAAATTAACCTCTCAACAACAATAAATCATTATTATAAATAAAATCAATGTAATATTTGAGATTTATCATCATTTACTACCAGTTTTGGTAAATAACGTCAATGGCCGGTGAAAGATGTAGGTAAATTTGAGTTTAAAATGTGGTTTTTACATAATTTACTTACGTAATCGAATCATTTTGGTAAATTATGTCATTGACTGGGGAATGATGTTATTCACCAATTTTTGTCTTTCACCGTAACATATATATTATATGTCTATATATGTATAATGTATATTTAATATACAACATAATATACATTATATGTACATATAAATATACCAATATACATATAAATTATATAAATTATACATATAAATATACCAATATACCAACTCAGAACTAAACGAGATAGGGCATAGGTTTTAAACTATTTAAAATAGTTAAATATTTTGATTATTCTTATAATACAGATTTGATGAATTTATTATGTATAATAAGGATAAGATATTTTCTTAATAAGCTATACCAAAGTTGAATATTAATATAGCGTACAGATGTGCAGTGAACTTAAATTTTAAGTAATGAAGTTAATTTAAAAATACAATCATATAATAATATTGTTTGTAGGCAATTGATCAATTTCTGCATCAAAAAGAAATGTGAAAATGATTTATTAACAAGGTGAACAAACAAAATAAAAAGTATGCCAACAATTCCAAAAAGTCTAGAAAAATCAAAAGTTCAAATATTTGATAGGCGCGAAAGTATTATAAATAATACAGAGGAGTTATTTTGTCATATGGAAACGATTTCTTTGAGTCTAGTCTATTTTTTACTTGTAACAATTGTCTTGAAATA